TTTGTCTGATGTAGCTGGCAAATATTTTTCCCACTTGTGGTGTTCTCTTCAGTTTAGAGACCATTTCTTTTGAGCAGAAGCTTTTTAGTTTTATGAGTCCCATTTATCTATGCTATCTCTTAGTTGCTGTGCTGCTGGGGTTCATTGAGAAAGTTCTTACCTATACCTACTAACTCCAGAGTATTTCCTACTCTTTCCTGTATCAACTTTAGAGTTTGGGTCTGATATTAAGATCCTTGATCCATTTTGAGTTAATATGGTATAGGGTGATATACATGGATCTTTTCAGTTTTTTGCAGACTGCTAACCAGTTTTCCCAGCAGTTTTTGTTGAAGAGGCTGCTATTTCTCCATCGTTATTTTTAGCTCCTTTGTCAAAGACAGTTGGTTATAGTTGTGGCTTCATATCTGGGTCTCTATTCTGTTCCACTGGTCTTCATGTCTGTTTTTGTGCCAGTACCATGCTGTTTTTATTGTTATTGCTTTGTAATATAGTTTGAAGTCAGGTATTGTGATACCTCCAGCATTGTTCTTTTGACTGAGTATTGCCTTGGCTATTCGTGCCTCTTGTGTTTCCATATAAATTTAACAGTAGATTTTTCATCTCTTTAATGAATGTCATTGGATTTTGATGGGAATTGCATTAAACATGTAGATTACTTTTGGAGTATAGACATTTTTACTATGTTGATTCTACCAATCCATGAGCATGGGAGATCTCTCCACTTTCTATAGTCTTCCTCAATCTCTTTCTTCAGAAGTGTATAGTTTTCCTTGTAGAGGTCTTTCACATCTTTGTTAGGTTTACACCTAGGTATTTGATTTTTTTGAGGCTATTGTAATGGAATTGTTTTCATAATTTTTCTCGTTTGTTATTGTTATGTATGAAATGCTAATGATTTTTCTATGTGATTTTATATCCTGCTACTTGCTGTAGCTATTGATGATGTCTAGAGCTTTAGTAGAGTTTTTTGGGTTTTAAGGTATGGATCATGTCGTCTGCAAATAGGGATATTTTGACAGTTTCTTTACCTATTTGTATTCCTTTTATTCCTTCTTCTTGCCTATTGCTCTGGCTAGGAATTCCAGTACTATGTTGAATAGGAGTGGAGATAGTGGGCATCCTTGTCTGTTCCTGATTTTAGAGGGAATGTTTCAGTTTTCTCCATTAGTATAATGCTGGCTGTAGGTTTGTCATATATAGCTTTTATAATGTTGAGGTACTTTCTTCTATTCCTAGTTTTCTTAGAGCTTTTATCATGAAAGTGTTGGATCTTATCAAAGGCTTTTTCTGCATCTATTGAGATGATCAAGTGGTTTTGTCTTTGCTTCTGTTAATGTGGTTTATTACTTTATTGATTTTCATATGTTGAACCACCCTGCATCCTGGGATGAAGCCTACTTGGTCGTGGTGAATAATCTTTTTGATGTTGTTGAATTCGGTTTGCCATTATTTTGTTGAGGATTTTGCGTCAATGTTCATTAAGGATTGGCCTATAGTTCTCCTTTTTGGAGGTGTCTTTGCCTGGTTTTGGGATAAGTGTAATACGGTTTATAAAATGTGTTTGACAGTTTCCTTCCCTTTCTATTTCGTGAACAGTTTAGGAGGGTTGGTATCAGTTCTTCTTTAAGGTCTGATAGAATTCAGCAGAGAATCCATCAGGTCCTGGACTTTTCTTTTTGGGAGACTCTTGATTGCTGTTCAATTCATTTTGTGTTATAGACTATCAGTGATTAATTCCTGTTGGTTCAGTTTTGGATGATCATATGTATCTAGAAATCTGTCCATTTCTTTAGATTTTCAAATTTATTAATATAATTCTCAAAGTAGTCTCTGATGATTCCTGGATTCCATGGTGTTTGTTGTTATCTCCCTTTTGCATTCCTGATTCTACTAATTTGGGTTTTTTCTCTCTCATTTTAGTCAGTTTGCCAGGGGTCTGTCGATCTTGTTTATTTTTTCAAAACCAACTTTTTGTTTCATTAATTCTTTGTATTTTTTTTGGTTTCTATTTCATTGATTTCAGCTCTTATTTTTATTATTTCTGTCCTACTTATTTTGGGATTTGCTTGTTCTTGTTTTTCTAGGAGTTTGAGATGTATCATTAGGTCATTGATTTGGGATCTTTCAGTCTTTTTAATATATGCATTCATGGCTATAAACTTTCCTCTCAGGACTGCCTTTGCTTCCGGTAGGTTTGTGTTTTCATTTTCATTGTCTTCCAGGAACTTTTTAATTTCCTCTTTTATTTCATCAATGACCCATTGTTCATTAAGCAATGAGTTATTCAGTTTCCAGCCTTTTTTGTTTAATGCAATCCCATTTGCTTTAGGTTTGCTTTTGTTTCCTATACTTTTGGGATATTGTCAAAAAAAAAAAAAACCCTCCCCCTTTCCAATGTCCTGAAACATTTTCCCTTATATTTTCTTCTAGTAGTTTCATTGTTTTAGCTCTTATATTTCAGTCTTCAATCCATTTTGAGTTGACTTTTTTGTAACTGATGAGTGATGGGGGGGGTCTAGTTTCATTGTTTTGCATGTGAATATGCAATTTTTCTAACACCATTTGTTGAAAATGGTGCTCTTAGCACTTTTGTCAAAAAGCAGCTGGTTGTGGTGTGGGTTGTGTTACGGCTAGTCATTATGGGCTCTGGTCATTGTGTCTGTTTATATGTCAATACCTTCTCTTGATGACCTCAGATTTTTAATAACATTGCAGTTAACTGTGGATAAATTAAATTATTGTGTTACCCCAGCAAAACAAATGTCATCTACATTCAAAGCCCCCTGGAGTAGCAGCAGTGTCTGTCAGGCACTTTGCATCAGCTGCTGGAAGGAAGGAAAGGCTGGGAAGTTCTTGGGGATTCATGGGGCCCCCTACACCTGGCTGCAGTTCCCATCTTCCCCTCTTTCAGGGACCGTTTGGGTCAGGGCAGAGCTACACAGCTCTGTGCTGTTGCATCCCTGTAAAGCACAATCTCCTGGGAAGTGCCTCTTATTCCACAGGTGTTCAAAATTCCAACAGGTGGGGAAAGCAACCAGCTCAGAGAGGACTATCATTGTGGGAGAAGGACAGGCATTTATACATGCTGACACCTTGTTGACACTGTAAGAAATGTCTCTGAGTTATCTGCTGATGGGAAGATGCTTTCTTCGAAAGGTAGTTACTAAAAGCTCGACACATCTACAGAGAACAGTATGTGTTTACAGTTGTGAAAACATCTCAGAAATCATTCGACTGAGGGACAGATGGCACATGCTGCTGTTTGACAGCAAACTGCTCTCACCTGAGAAGCCAGGACAGCAGTCAGAAGGAAATACTTCCTACTCCCCTACCTGTCCCTGCAATGATGAGGTGGGGGTCTGAAAGGTATCTGGGGTCCCCACGCTGGCCCTTCTTTGACAATTAGAAGTCTCTGCTGATGGAAGTGGCTACCATCTGACTGAGAAGCCCATTGGAACCAGTTCCAGACATGGCTTTGCTGCCATTGGCTGGGAACCGTTGTCAGTATCCTACCACTTCCTATGGGCCTGTCCTAAGGGGACAGGACAACACTGCAGCCCAGGAACTCTTGCTTCCTTCTGTCATCTGTTAAGTTGTTTCACAAACTGGCTGTTGCACATGGTATTTGGGGAAGCTACCTGTGAAGGCCTGCCAGGCTCTTTTCTCAGTCCAACCACGGACCCAGCCTACCAACTGCCTCCTCTGCCAAAATTCAGGGAGGATTGGACCTTTTGGTTTTTAAATTGAAATTAATTTGCTGTGGTGATCATGAGGCAAGCCCAGAGTCAGCCTAGTTTCAACAAGTTGGTCTCCAAGAAGTGGGCAATGAATTTTTTGGGGGAAGGAACTCATTATTTTAGCTCTGATCTCCAGGCCAGAATTTTTGCCTCTCTGTTCAAATGGCCCAAACTCAGAGCCTGGAAGAGAGCTCTACCCATATACCCCAGCCCCTGCACACATCAGGGGCACCCTCTGTCCTGGGATGCCTCCTGGCTGCCTACAGCTCAGGTGAGCCAAGACACAGGGGAGCTGGTTAGCAGGGGCCCTGAGGAAGTTAGAGAAGCCAAGAGCCTAGCAACATAGGGAGCCAGGCCAACCGTGGCTGCAGCCACCCAGGCCGCTGAAGGACCAGGCATATGGAGCCAGGGGTCAGTCTCAGACCAGAGACGCCCTTGTTTTAGGCTCATCCCCTGTATCTAACAGAAAGCTACATCACATCCCCCCCCCCCCCCGCTCCCCGCCCCTGCACTTCGTGACTAGGGCAAGATGAACCTAGCTGGACCCCAGATTCCCAGGGCTTGGGGAAAGTGAAGACTAAGATGTATGGGATTTCTAGCATTGTATCCTTACGCCACCAGCGTCTGGGTGGCTTCGGCACTCATGCCTGCCTGCTGCCTTCACCCGTTTAGTGGAGGACTCCAGCACCACTGCCCATATCCCGCCAGGCGTCCCACAAAGCCCACGGACTTCGTAGTGATTTTCTGCACAGTGTGGCTACCCTCCATTCCAGGGCTCTGGAGAGGCAGATGTAGTGCAGACAGGGTGAGAGGAGGAGGACATGAAAGCAAGGGGCAGGCGGTGCATTAGACCGAGCTCCCAAGCCAAACCATGGGGACCTTCGGGAGATGTCATACCTGTCCAAGGACAGCGGGGCTACCGAGGCCTGAGGCTAGAGGAACCTGGGATCTGTGTGATCCCTGAGGACTCAGGACTCCTGCAGCTAAGGCCTTGAATGACTCCTGACCCAGCCCTGGCTGCGCGGGGAGGAAGAATGAGAGGGGCGGCCTGTTAGGGCGCATCAGGACCAGGGCGGGGAGGAAAGCTGACCCGGGGCGGGATGTGGACTTTGCTTCTCCAAGGCTGGCAGAGGTGGGGGAGGATGCTCGCCACGGACACTCACCCAGGACTCGGGCCCCCGAAAGCATTTAAAGGACCAAGGATGGGGCGGGGCTGGCCGCACCTGTCTGCAGCTGGCGGCCTCGCTGGATGGAGCGCCCATGAGCTTCGGTGCGGAGCCTCCTGCACCGGCTCCGGCCCGGGAGCTGCTGGACATGACAGCTTACTGCGACGGCCTGGGCACCTGCTCCGCCCCGCACGGCCAGCCCCGGGCCTGCGCGCACCCCCAGGGCTACGCGCGCGGAGATCTGGGCGCAGGAGGCGGTGGCCCGCGCCTGTGGGTGAACGCGCCCGCGCTCAGCCCTGCGCCCTATGCGTCTGGTCCCGGGGCCGCACCACCCTACGGCTCCCCGGGTTACGCGGCCCCTGGCCCGCTCCTCGGCGCCGCGGGCGGCCTGGCGGGCGCTGACCTCGCGTGGCTGAGCCTCCCAGGCCAGCAGGAGCTGCTGAGGCTGGTGAGGCCACCCTACTCCTACTCGGCGCTCATCGCCATGGCCATACAGAGCGCGCCGCTGCGGAAGCTGACGCTCAGCCAGATCTACCAGTACGTGACCGGCAACTTCCCCTTCTACAAGCGCAGCAAGGCGGGCTGGCAGAACTCCATCCGCCACAACCTGTCGCTTAACGACTGCTTCAAGAAGGTGCCCCGCGACGAGAACGACCCAGGTAACCGCGGCGCGCGCGCTCGCTGTCCAGAACTCCGCGGCCTCTTGGGGCTGGCAGCGAGCACTCTGGCGGTGGGAGCGACCCTGTTCTTCCCTGCACAGTTGGGGAGCTCAGAGGGGAAGAAGGGGTTGAGAGACGTCCTGGCGGTGAACAAACCCTTGGGTGGCAGCAGAACGAGCGGACCCTGGCTTACAGCTTTTGGGGGCTCTAAATTTCTGTACCTTTCTTTGGAGGAAGCTAGTCAGTTGGGAGATGCTGGGACTTTTTTAACCACTCTGAGCCTCAATCACTTGCCTGTAAGATGGGCAAGACCTTGCCCAGCCTCAAAATCGGTAAAAACAAACAAACAAACAAAAAACAAAAAATGAGATGCCCCTTGGGAACGCGCTGGAGCCGACGTAAAGGCCAGGTGTGGTTCCCCCCAACCCCCCCCAACCACCACCACACACACACTGGTAAAGTCCAGACAGTTCAGCATCTCTCTGGTCTTGAACTTGGCGGGGCCTGGCATTTCCTCATAGGTCCCTGCCTTGATCTAAATCCGTCCAGTGTGGTTGTGGAGATTCATCCCAGAGTGCAAAGCACGCGATTTGGGATGGGGACGAGGGCTTTTGACACTTGGAGGGGCCAATGGAAGAAGTCACCTCCACGCTGCACTAGGCTTTCTGAACTTGGCCTGTCCTTGCTTCCTCTGCAGGTAAAGGCAATTACTGGACCCTGGACCCAAACTGCGAAAAGATGTTCGATAACGGGAACTTCCGAAGGAAGAGGAAACGGAGAGGGGAGGCGAGTGCGTCCCCGGGAGCCCCGAGTCCAGGGGAAGCCGAAGCACACGCGCAGGAGCCCCGGGCCGCGGCTTCCCTGGACCCGCAGGCCTCGCCTTCCCCGCCGGGGCCCGAGGCTGCCGCTTGCTTCTCTGGCTTCTCCTCTGCCATGGGCGCCTTGACCAGCGGCCTGGGCACCTTCCCCGGGGGCCTGGCGCGGGACTTTTCTTTCGGGAGGCCGACAACGGTGGCCGCTCATGGTCCCCAGATCCCTGACCCCACGCCAGTGTTCGCCCCTGGCCATCAGACGGCAGCCACCGGTTTTCGAGTCAGTCACCTTGTCTACAGCCGGGAAGGGACTGAAGTTTGAAGGGAGGCTGGAGACCTGCTCGGGTGTCCAGAGATCCCAGCTAGGTGACAGCTCTCGTGCTGGCGCTGCGGCCATCAGAGCTGTGCGCACAAGAGCACAGAGCAGGGAGCCCCCCCGCAGGGAGCTGAGCTGAGCTGAGCTGCGCCTGCTGCGGGTGCGGCCCGCGGTGCACCCCTCACCTCTGCAACCATTGATCAGCCTGGACTCCTGCTCTCCCTTCAGATTCGCTGCGGGTCTGGGCTCTGCAACCTGCGCTTTCCAGGGAACCGCCCCAAAGTGGCCAAGGGCTGGCGCTCAACTCCAGCCTTTCCAAGGGTGGTCCCCAAAGAGCCTTCTTCCAGCCGGCTGGAGGAGGTGGGGCTGCAGGGAACCCACCCTACACACACCAGAGGGCCCAACCATAGCCTATTTCCACCTGTTGCCCAGCCCAGCTCACCTGGCTCAGGGCATTCCCTCCCTGCCAGGCCAGGCGGCTTCCTCCACTCTCGCAAGGAGTGCTCACTGAATGAGATTTGGGACTGTTGGTGTTGGGTCACACGTAATGAGGGACTTTCCAATGTCTAGAACTGCCTGTGCTGGCAGGGCAGGGTCCCTGGACACCCTTCCCACTCACTCTGTTTCTGGCATTATTAGCAAACCTATCATAGAACCAGGCATCTCCTCAGGACCTCACTGTCCCCACACCATAGAAACCATACCTGGCACCTGGGATTCTCTGGGTGGGTCTTGGTTTGCCCCACACCACACCCACACTCACACCTGAGTCAGGTTGTCACACCTGTTTTGTCCTTTGTCCCCTCCTGCACTCTGTCCTTGCTAGAGCTTCCCCTGCCTAGAGCTCCAGAGAGCTACCTCCTGTACGAATTTAAACTGCGCCTTCCATCCCCATCTGTATTTACTGTGCTGGGAAAGGGGCCCACAGTCATTGGGAAGAGGAATTTGGGCCTCTGTACATCCCTGAGATGGCAGGCCCAGTCCACTGTCCTGTGCCTTTGTGGCACCTGGCACTCTGAAGACATGATACTGGGGGATGCACTCACCTCCCAGCTGTACTCCTGGGCTGGCAGGGCTTCCTTTTCCTGGAAGACAGCAGAGAGAAGATACTGTTCACTTGGAGTGGGTTTACCCTGTAGGCAGCCTAACCCTAGCCCACTTCTACCCAGTGGTGTGGACTTTTCTTCGTTACCTGCAAACCTGCCTACTCCTGCTGGAAATGAGAGAGAGGCCCTGAATTCAACCCCAGTACCACAAGAAAAGGGAAGCATGCCACAGCCAGGCCTGGTGGCACACACCTGTAATCCCAACTCCTGGGAGGCTGAGGCAGGAGGACCTCAAGTCTGAAGTCAGGCAGAGGCACATAGCAGGACCCTAACTCAAAAAATCTGCACTGTCACCAAAATCATCATTTGCAAGAAAGTTGGAAATAATTTTTTTAAAGTTAAATTGGTGTGAAGCTGCTTTTCTCTTTTTTATTCCATCAATAAATTTTCTGTTAAAATTGATGGGGCAAAAACTTTTTAAAAAGACTTGTTCAATTTTTGATTTGCCTTGAAATCAGTTTTTGCCAGAAATCAATTTTTGGTGCTTAAAGCTAGTTCAGCTAATCAAAGCTTTACAGCACTAATATTTAATGGTATTTCAATTAGATGAACTTTTTTTCTTTTTTAGTATGACTGAGATTTGAACTCAGGGCTTCAAGCTTGCAAAGCAGGTGCTCTACCATTAAACCATGCCTCCAGTCCATTTTGTTCTGGTTGTTTTGGAAATGCGGTCTTACAAACTATTTGCTTAAACTGCAGTCCTCCTGATCTCAGCTCCCCAAGTAGTTAGGATTATAGGCATGAGCCACTGGCACCTGGCAAATAGATGAACTCTTCATGAGAAAAAAATTATAGCAGAGCAAGATATTTGGAAATTGGTGGGGTCAGATTCCAGAGAGAATTCACCCGTCCTCCATGACCGTCCATGCATCTGGATATACATTCAGGAGGAGGGGAACATGCCAAAATGCAGTACATGGGTACAGTCAGCTTCATACTCATATCCATTTTCCCAGAGGGTGGAAACTGCTGAAATCAAAACAAGGAAAACAGAGCAAAGCAGTTCATGATGACTGTACTCTTGTGCTTTCTCTGGCCACCGCTCAATGAGTTCGGCCTCGACCCTACGCAGGGTGCATGTGGAAGCCGCAGGACCCACTTGGCAAGGCTGAGACACTGCTGGGTTAAGCCAGCTGTCACCTGAGGGATCCAGACCCTGTTGTGGCACTCAAGGCCCATCTTCTCCCCTATTCTCTCCCTTTGTTGCCTGTAGAAACCTATAGAAAATCCCAAATTATTTTAAGGTAATTGTGAGATTGCAACCCAAGAGCACCTCTGCATGTTCGTGTGCCCTTGCACTCATCTCTAAGTCTGAGTAAACAACTCAGTGAGGTCACATCATTTCCAGTACAGAGGCAAGTTCCAAAATTCAGAGGGAAAAGGTAATCGAAATGCCGAGCTATTGGGTTATACAGGATTCTGTCCATGCCAAACCAGTGGTAACATTTTCCAGGTGATTGAAAACCGACAAGCATAATAATAAATTGTCATCTCTCCTGGTCACTGAGAGAAGAAGAATCCCTAAGCAAAGAGAGACCTTCCCAGTGAAGACTCAAAATTCCTTAGAAGTGCAGTGGTATTTAAAAGTCAACCTGGGATTTCAAGATACGAGTTTGCATTTCACACATTAATTAAACATGGAGGGTACTTGTTTACGGTGAACATAAAGTTTTGCATTTTAGTAATCCTGCCTCACAGAGTACGAGTCAACTTGCAGTCTTGAATTTCCTAGGGTGTACAATCAGGTGGCATCTGTCACTCAGGGGCACAGCGTGACAGTAATCACTTCTTCAGTGACACAGGGAATGGAAGTTCACCCCCATTTTGCAGGTAGAAAGCCTGAATCAAAATGGCAGAGGCTCATCTGTCACGAGCTACAAGCAGTACAAAAGCTCTGACATTTGCATGGCCCGTGCCTAGTTTTAGAAATGAACCTGTACGTATGTGTAGACACACACACACAGGCACGCACACACACACACACACACACACACACTAAGCTCTGTCCTGCTTCTACCCTTGGTTCCCAAAGGCACAGTATTTTCAAGTAAACCCAGACTATCACACTGTCATCTGGAGTTGGAACCGGGGGAGAGGAACATGTGGAAATACCACAGACGCAACACAGGCTGAGTCCCATGTATCCTAATAAAATGTGATGGATTCAATAAATCTTTCTGGAGTGCCAGCTATGAACCCGGCTTTGTAAGTCCTGTGGTGAGTGGTATGTACCCATTGCTGCTCTCACAGAGCCTTCTTCTGATGGTTGGGACAAAGGCCAAGGACAGTCATAGCCTGAATTGTGGCTGTTTGGTCCCAAAACAATCAAGTTGATAAAGCATCTCATTCTAAGTACCGTATTGTCTGTTCAGTGCACCTGGCTGTGTTCTCCACACTCTGCTAGCTAAGGTAGTGCTCGATTTCTCAGTTGTGTAACTTCAGTGTGGCCTGGGTGGGGACCTCAGCACTACACCTAGCGAGGGCAGGTGTGGTCCACTCACTCCTCCAGAAAGATATTTAGGGAGCTTCACCCAAAGCCTGTCCTCTTATCAGAAGATCTGTTGTGTAGGGGTGATGAGTGCTGGCCCATTCCTGGGCTACTGGCGTGATTCCTCCCTGTGCCCGTTGGTGGAAGTTTGAGAAACTCAATCTAATTCAGATCTGCTAAGCAACATCATTCCAGGCTAACTGCCTAACACTCCCAGTGAGCTGCTTTCTTAATTCAAACAACTTAAACCTCTGGATCTTAAAGGCTTTCCCTGCCCCAAGAGTCATGAGTCACCCATTCTCCCAGACCCCCTGACCACAAAGGTCAAGAACTCTGTTAGCTGTGCAATGTACATTGATTCATGTAGTCTTCATGTCCCAGTGAGGCAAGTATTGCTATCCCATTTTACTGATGCAGCACCTGAGGTTCAGACCAGTGAAGTGACTTGTTTCCCAGAGGTCATGGCTAGTATTGAACTAAGTCAGCAGGAGCTTATCTCCCCTTCTGACTTCCCTGCCTCCCATTTCATCCCTCACTCTTCAGAGTCTTTTTCTGATGGTCCAACTCCAAGTGAAGTGCAGAAGGTGTGCTCCTGCAGCCACTGGAGAGTCCTGTCATCCCCAGAAGACAGAGTGGTCAGTGTGAGGTCACCTGCCTTGCTTACTTCTCGGTAGCATCCCCAGTGCCAGTAATTGAATGAATGCATGCATGGGTAGGTGAGTGAGCCAGCTGCTCCCCAGACTCTCCATACACATAGTCAGTCCATCCCCTGTTTTGTGACAGTCTGCATCTTCTTCACAGGAGCCGGGCCTTCTGCTGGACCTGGAGGCACAGCAGTGAGTGAGACACAGCCCTGGAAGCACTGCTGCTGAGTGCCCACCCTGGGCTGGGGGCCTGGGTGGCTGGCAGAGGGGGCATGGAGCTGGGGGAGAGGGATCACAGCTGAAAGTGAGCAGGCTGATACAGTTTGGTCAGTCCGTGGACATTTCACTTCAAACATGGAAGCACTCATAATGATGTAGCCCATGCGTTAGAGAACCAAGGCTGACACCTAGGGCCCACCTTCATGAGCGGATAGATATAGGTAGCTTTCTTTGAGGCACTTTCCAAACCATCCCTCACTCCTGTACTCTTGATCTGTGTCCCCCTGAGCCTAGGAGGGCAGGCCAGGATTCAGCTCCCAAGCTGGAGATGAAGACATCATGAGTCAGGCGCCTGTGCTCCTTCCACTGGGCCTGGGCTCAACCCCAATACAAGGTGGGAGATCTGTCAAATGCATGTACAGCAGGTAATTTTTACTGCCCCCTGGAAGTGCAGAGAAACCTGCGGGGCTCCAGGCCCCTAATCGATCCTCCATCCATCACCTGGGCACAGGCCCTCACTTCTGCACGCACCAGTGGCTGGGATCTGCC